AGGGGCAAGGTCTGGTTCCGCTTGGTATCCCACTCGTTGTGGAGCAGGGGTGTGATACTTATTGAGTAAGTTGGAGCCTGCAGTTTGGGCTGTCAGGAGCAGAAGAGGGTTAGGGAGGGGGTGCTGAGACTTTAGGAGATGGTAGGGGTGTGTAGAATGGAGAGCCAGGGCCTGTATAGTGAAGAAGGGTGCCAGGGTGCTGGAAAGGACTACAGGTTGCCCCGGGCCAAGTCTACTCATCTTCAGTGCTAGATCAAAAGAGGGAGAGTGGGGATAGAACCGAGAAGCTTGGGGTCAAGTTGATCCTCCTTCACTCTCCAGCTGTGCAGCCTGGGGCAAATAGATCCCCCTCTGGGCCTATTCAGCTGTAGGAGTAGAGCTGGACTCCCAGACCCCCAGGACTTTCAGCTTTGGTACTCTCACTCAGTGAGCTTGCTCCCCCAAAGGTCCAGGGCCTGTGGCCACAGGGGCGGGGGCAGGTGGGGCTCAGAGTGTGATGTGTGTCCTGGATAAGTTGTGATGTCACTGGGAGGAGGCAGAAGTGGTGCAGGTAGAGCCAGCACCCTGACTCTGAGCAAGTAGGGGTACCTGGACGGCTCCGGGGAGGAGGTTTGAGCAGCCCTCTTCTTTTCCCCCTACAGTGCTTCCTGTCCTCTTCCACACCCCATTCCCCAACAGAGCGACGCCGAATCCTAGTAACTCGACTGTGTGGCTGTGCAGAAAGTCACCGAGCCTTTCTGAGCCTGTTTCTACGTTTCGAGATGCTGAAACTGATCCAGAAGACTGGGTGAGGGATGAAAGGACCAGCGTTGTGCCTGCTTTCTGTCTGGAAAAGAGCAACTGGTCCTCATTGCCCCCAGGGTCCCCTTTGCATGGGACTCTGGCGCGGGGTGAGGCCTTTTGGGGGGACAGGCTGATGAGGGTGTTGGATGGGAGCTCCTGATACCGAACTGTGGCTCGAGCTGTTCCCGATTGCCACTGAGATGGCCACTCACCATAAACCTGTTTATTGTGTTGCTATAGAGCCAGAAGCTCACTGCAGTTTAGGGGTCCAGGGATGAGACCGGCTGCTGGATAGGAGCAGCCGGCATGGTCAGGCCTGTTCATTCACTGTGGATGTTTCTGCCACTCTTTTGAGCCTGGTTCATCCGAGGCCCCCAGTTTCTAATCTGGTTGGGAAGGATTTATTTTTGGGTCCCCGTAACCTAGCAATGGGGCTCACATGACCAGTGGCAGCTGCAGGCTGAATATACTGTTGGATCTCGGCTCCTGGCAGGGGGTGTGGGCCAGACTGTGGGGGAACAGAAAGAACGGAAAGGCTCTCACCTCTGCCTTCCTCGCCTTTCTTCCAGCCCCTCAGCCCAGCCCTCTCAGATGGGGGCAGGGGAGGAGGATGGATGCCTCAGGAGCAGATAGACCTGGTACTGATGCTCCAAGTGCCTGGACAGCTAGGGCCTGAGCCACAATGAGGAGGCCCAGCTGAGAGCCTGTTCTTTGGGTGTCTTGGTGGGAGTGGAATGGTTGGGTGTCCAGTGGCTAGAGATGGGTACAGAAAAAATACAATGGTGGCGTGCTGGGTGAGGTCAGACAGACGTGTAGGTGGCTTAACAGGCACTCTGTATATAATACAGGGATCTCAGGGACACTCCCGGGCCTTGCTGTGGCCCTAATATTTCCTCCTTCCCCTTGTTTCCTGTTCAGTTGTTAGTATTCCTCAGAGAGAGGGAGAATATGCAGCTGTTCTCAGCGTAAACGTATTGATGAAGCTCTTTCCTGAGGTCAGGTTTTGACAAAAAGCAGAGGGTCAGGGAAGAAAGACTTGGGCACCACCAGAAAAGACACTTCAGGGAAGTATGGGGGGGCATCCGGAGAGCCCCTCAACATTTACCGAGTGAAGGATGCACAGAGGAAAGGTAGATCTGCTCGGCTCCAAGGTTTCATCCTGGGCAGAAAAGGGTGGATGGGATGGAAAAAGCCTATCAAGGGTAGGCAAAGATGGGGTGGGGCTCTTAAGGAGTTTAGGACAGAGCAATCCATTATCAGGGTTCCGACTGACCCTAAGAAGAGACATGGCTATGGGCAAGGGGAGACATGGCACCGATGGGAGGCGGTCCTTTCCTGCCCTGTGACAGAGCTCGCGGGTGTGCACACTGGGCCAAGGGCTGCTGGTGGGCTTTGAGAGACCACGTCCAGTTTCTCTGTCTTGGTTTTCTCACTTCATCTGTTGCGCTGGAGGGACGAGCTGAGCTGGCTGGGTATGGTGGCTCTGACCTGTGATCTCAACATCTAGAAGGCTGAGGCAGGACGATCACACAACACACACACGGTTAGCCTAGGCTACACTGCCAGATAACTTCTCAAAAAAAAAGATCCTAAATAAATAAGTGGATTAGAGTTGGGCTGTGCTGTCAACAGCTCCTCTGAACCCTCCCTGCAGAGACCCTTTGCTGTTACCAGCATTGCTGCTGTCAGTGGCTCCAGCCTCAGACAGGCATTATCCTCCCCTGTCCACAGGCCCTTTTCTCTTTTCCCTGAGCCAGGATGGCTTCCAGCATCTGGGAATATGCGCTAGAACCCACTGTCTCCTTCATACTCCCCCCCCCATAGCTTTTTAGTAGGGGGCTCATGACCTTTCCCTTGGCCCCACTCCAGCTTAGTGGCTGGCCATGATAACCAAACTAGCTCCCTGGGTAGCAGACTCTCTCTGTATTGCAGCCTCCGTACCACTGTTCAAGACACTGGGAAATGAGGAATTTTGCCTTTTTTTTTTTTTTTTTTTTTAACATATGGAAAAAGTAATGCACAGTCAACTCGGAAGCCAAGGTCTTACTTCTGAGCAGCAGAGCACATCCAAAGCTAGACTGCGCTTTCCTGATCCCTGTCCAGTGCTTCTGTCTCTATTTCTGTTGCAAAGATCCTGTCGGCCCCTAGCTCTCTCTGAATCCCTGGAAGGGGTTCTAGGGCTTGTATCAGTCTGTGCCTTTGTCTTGACCATCACATCAGGACTCCAGAGAGGCCATGGGACTGGAGAGGACTGAGAAAACACTTTATCTTTGAACAGATAAATAGGGTTCAAATATTGGCCCTGGCTGTATTTGGTCCGGAGAAGGTCACTTCACTTTATGCCCTCTTTTCCTCAGAGGTGGATAATTGCTGCCTTAAACACTGATATGACGACTGAAGAGGTCATATGTTAAGGGTCTGCCACTCATTAGGAATTCAGGGAAGGCTGGGTGCAGTGGTAGGCACTCTGGGAGGCAGAGGCAGGCAGGTCACTGTGAGTTCAAGGCCAGTCTGGTATACAGAGTGAGTTCTAGGACAGCCAGGGCTACACAGAGAAACCCTGTCTCAAAAAAAAATTTTAGACTAGGCTAGTCAGTTCTCTTGGTTGTTGATTTGGGGCCTAAAGAAGCTAGTCTGTCCTCTGAGTTTCCTGGGTAAGTCACTGGTTTTACAGATCTTTGTCTGGATCTAGTAAGCGATTCTAGCATTCCCTTTTGAAGCCAGAAGGAGTTGTTGAATATGCAGGTGGCCCCCTGACAGGGCTCCGGTGTCAGCTCCAGATCTGATCTGAATTCCCTGTTCAGGCTCACAGCTCTGCTGTGGGGGTGAGGCTGTGCCCTCTGAGCAATGCCTTCACCTCAAGAATATGGATACCAGCCAGACAGCGCTTTCATACACCCATAATCCCATTAGAGGCAGGCGAATCTCTGAGTTCGAGTCTAGCCTGGTCTATAGAGTGAGTTCCGGGAAAGCCAGGGTTATACAGAGAAACCTTGTCTCGGAAAACCTTGAAAAAAAAAAGAAGAAGAAGAGTGAATGAATATGAACCTCTTGGGACTAGAGGGTTGCTTGGCTCAGGACTTGGGGCTTTTTCAGAGGACCCAGGTTTGGTTCCAGCACCCACGTGGGAGCTCAGTTCCATCCCAAACTCTAGGTTGGGGATCCAGCACCCTCTTCTGACCCCCATGCACATACACAGATGAGCACTTACATACATGCAGGCAAAACACCCATACACATGAAACAAACTTAAAAGAGAGAAAAGAGTGAGTTCATGCTCTGTGGGGATTTTAAGATGCCTCGTTAGAAACCTCCTCTTGGGATCGGTCACTGACCATGTTCTTCATAGCTAGCAGGAGGCCAGACCCCTTCTCTCCCTTCTAAAGCTTTGTCATATAGTGGTGACACCCTGTGAGTGATGCCCTTGGCTCTGTCCAGCTCTACAAATGCAGACCAACCTGAGCCTTCCGGGGAACCTGGCTCCTACCTCTGCCTTTGGGAGCAGAGGTGTGGACGTGTGGAAGGGACCTCAGGAGATCTTACATTCCCCTGTCTTTATAAGCCCCAGAGCTTAAGCAAATAATAGAGGTGTGGTTTGGGTGGGGACAAGTGCAGGGTCAAGATGGCTTCCTCTTCAAATCCCACTGCTACTCATTCATCTGTCTACTATACAAATTTACCGATCCTAAAAGGAGTCAAACCATGGGTCAGCCGCTGGAGCCCTCCCAGGTTGAATCTTGGAGTTCTGGCTATGCACCCATCTGCCTACTACAGTAGCACCTTGGTGCTGGCATCATACAGAACCGCACAATGAACATTAAGGCTGTCAGAAACCTTGGGGTCATCTATCTCATAATACTATTGAGCAGATGAGAAACAAGGGCCAAATGGAAATGACTTGCCCAAGGTAACTCAGCTCTTAAGTGCCTGGGACTTTTTTTTTTTTTTTCATCAGGCTGATTGGGAGGGTTTCCCCTGCCTGCTTGCCATCAGCTGGCTCCTGGAAGCCTTTGAGATGCAGTCTAGATTCCTGAGAGAAACATGATTAACAGAGCTTCCTCGGCACTTTGCTTGGGAGCCCCGAGGCCCAGCTGTTTGCTCCAGAAGTGGCTCTAAAGGGCTGGTGGATAGCAGGAGGCCACTAGGACCCAGAAGCTCTCTGAGCATCCTGCTCTGCTGGCTGCCTCTCTCGGCTTACTGCAGTGGTTCAGGCTTCAGCAGCCTTGGAGAAGCATCAGCTGAGAGGAGCTATCACATAGGAGCTGGGAGCTGCTCAGCAAAGGTAGGAGTTGCCGACTAGGCCAGGATTGGGGGGCAGACCCAGGGCTTGGTGAGTGCTGCCTCACCTTACAGAAGGATGGCATCTCAAGGAGCAACCCACCCGGCCCTACGGTGGGCAGTTCTGTCAGAGGATGGGCTCCCAGGTGTCCCAAAGGTAGTGTTGGCGTGTGGGCATCTCTAAAGCCAAGGAAAAGGAGGTTGATCATCTCCTGCTGGCCAGAGTAACTCCATCCTGCAACAGACAGCATTCCCTGTCTGCCTTGCTGTGTGTCATACAGAGAGGTCCCCACATCCTAGAAACAGGCCCTTCGGCATTCCAGGATGATGGGCATCTGTGTCCTGGGCGTGGGCAGTTCTGCTAGGGAGAAAAATCTCCCCTGGCCTAAGAAGACCACATTCTTGCCTGAAGGTAGGCCAGGCTCTGATCCTTGGCACAGAAGCTCTGAATGTGAGACTCAGGTACATGTGAATCCCAACAACACCTCTGTGGCCCTGGGCTAGGCACGTGTGTATATGCTACATCCTGAGATGAGGACAGCTGCCACTTGACCATGGCCCTGTCAGAGGCCAGACTTCAGACCCTAGGCTGGCTGAGCCTTCCAGGTACTAAGGTCTGGAAGATGAGGAGGTGGTAGTAAAGGAAGCAGTGGGAGGGTGCAAGCATCTACTGAGGTGGAAGGCGTGATGACATGAGCTAGGAGTGGAGTCAGACTCCCTGGGTTTCCCCTATGAGGCAGTTACACCACAGCCCTCCCCTCTAAAAGCCTCCATCAATGAGAGAGTACCTAGTATCCAACTATATTGGTCTGTCTGTTACAAGGCAAATTGGAATCCTAGAATTTGACAAGACTTGGGGGTGGGGGAACTATGAGAAAGAAAGAAATATGCCTAGTGCTTTCTTGCCTAAGGCTCCATCATGGCTGCATAGCACCCCTGCATGTCCATGTGTCCACATGAAAACCATGTATGCCTTTCTCAGTCAGGGATTATAGCTGTGCCTTGCTGGATTGGACTCCTGCTATCTATCCACACATAGTGGACTCTTCCTTCTTTGGGCACCACATCTTTTAGGCCCCACTCCAAGGGAGGATGGAAGTGGAGAGTAAAGGGTAAAAGATGCAATCTCTAGGATTTCTTTCAGGCATTTTTTTTCCTGGTAGACTGTCTTATGAGACTCTGACATCTCCCTGGAGAGAGGTATGTCTCTAGGCAGTTGTCCAAAGTTAGGGAAGCCGCAAATCCAGGAGTCTGGGCTATCCTCCTCAGAGAGAATCCCCTGGCTGGCACACAGATAACTGACTGAATATTTCAGGAGTTTGTACTCCGGGGCCAGGATTCAATTAGTCAACTTGAGTCTGATTCAACTCAAGAGAATTGCACTGAACACCTAAGGCATGCGTGACATGTTAGAAGTTGGATTACGCCAAAATTATTATAAAATAATTTTGAGAGGAGTGGGGCTCTGGAAAGTTATGTGGTTCTCTTCACTGCAGCTGTAGAAATGATAAGTTTTTTTAAGGGCAGAAACCACCAGGTGCTCCCCATCCCAGAAACTCACAGAGTAGCAAAATGTTATATGTAGAAAGCTTGCCAGTCTTGTGGTCCAGCCCTCCCATTTCACAGTTGTACAAAGTGTGGCCCAGAAAAACTTTTAACTTGTCTATGGAATGGCCAGCAGACGTGGCATGTCTATGGCTTGTCTCTAGACTGTGTAACTCAGCATACTGTATTGAGGGTTTATATACATATATGCTAATCATTAGTTAATAACTAATGATTATTAATTATATTAGTTATTGAGGGTTGATGTATGTTAATTACACTGGGGACAATCTGTTTCAATTATATGCAGACTTAATGTGGATAACGACATAATAAACAGATGTGACCTGTCACTTGATGGGGAGATCTGGGAGGTGATGATTTGGTCTGGCTTTCTCTCCTTTCTGTGTACCCAATTCTATAACTGCAGTCCTCCACCCTGCCCCTCAACACCTTCATCCTTTTTACATGGACATTCACGCTCACCCTTTGTCATGTGATCATGGGAAGAGGTCAGAACCAAGACAGCTTTGGGGTGAGCAATCCTTGCTTAGTGGCAGGAACCTGGGAAATGGGGCTGCTGCTCTCCCACCAGCCAGAATACCACAGCCCTGAGAAGCCATAGAGTAGGTAGAGAAGGACAGCTTTCAAATGGCATGTGTCCCCTGGCCATGGGAGTTCAGGAGCAGATGAGCTGGCGTTCCTTGCAGCTGGGCATCTGGTCTTCACTGCAGCTTCCTCGGCATTCCCAAACTGGCAGCTCTTTGTTTTGGGAGTGATGATGTCAGTAGGGACTGAAGTGCAGCTGTTCTTTCTAGGTGATGGTGGGAGATGTTGGCAGGGTCTGTTCAAGTTCAGCGATGATTTACTGAAAGCCTGCTGTACTCTAGTTGATATGGAGGCTGCTTTCCCCGCATAGACCGGCATGGTGGGCAAAAGAACCGTCCCTGAAGGCAGACTACTCTGAGCTTGCCTCTCCTGAGCTGCGTGATCTTAGGTATGCTCCTTAACTTCTCCAGGCTGCAGGTCTATCTGTGGAGAGATGGAGGTCATACCGTCTGTCTCCTGGGATCGTGTGAGGATGGAGGTGAGCTGAGGGACCTGGAGTGCTTAGGGCAGGGCCCGGAGTGTGTCCCGAGCACCATGTAAACCCTTATTGTGCAGGATTAGTACTGCAACCAGACCTGACCCTGCGAGCAGTTACGAAATAGGTGTTATCTCTTCCTTTTGCAGATGCCTTCATGAGGAAACTGGAGCCCAGAAGAGTTGCACAGTTAGTAACACCTGGAACCAGAAGCTGAATCTTAGGCTCCTTCTGCTCCCCATTCTGATGAAAAATCAGAAAATCCACACAAGCAACCCTAAAGCCGGATCGCTGTCCTAGAGCAAAGCAGGACATTGGAGGAGGCTGACAGAACTTTAGGATTGCCCTCAAAAGGGAAGAGAAACATGGAGAAGTAGAAAAGAAAGCGGCAAAAGAGGTACCAGCGGTCACCCAGAAGGCGGCTTAGGAGTATGTGAGGATCCCTCCCATCACCAGGGCTGACCCTGGGGCTACCTCTGGACAGAAACTGGACATGAGTTCCTGAGTTCAGAGCTGCCTGTCCTGGTGCTCTGTCCACACAGGGGCCCAGCTTGGAAGGCTGGGGACAAGAGCCTGCCTTACAGGCTCCAGCAGAAGGCCCCCAGCGAGATTGGGAAGCCTGAGCCTGGGCTTACATCCCAGGGTCGTGGAGTAGGATGGGGGATGGGCCTGTAGTAGGAAGTGCCCTGGGTGTCCTCTTTCGGCCCCATGGAGTCCTCACCCATCCCCCAGTCATCAGGAAATTCGTCCACTTTGGGAAGGGCCCTTCAAACCCCAGGTCCCTCTACTGCCAGCGGGGTCCCAGAGTTGGGACTACGGGACGTGGCTTCAGAATCTGTGGCTCTCTTCTTCATGCTGCTGCTGGACCTCACTGCTGTGGCCGGCAATGCCGCTGTGATGGCTGTTATTGCCAAAACGCCTGCCCTCCGAAAATTCGTTTTCGTCTTCCATCTCTGTCTGGTGGACCTGCTGGCTGCCCTGACCCTCATGCCCCTGGCCATGCTCTCCAGCTCTGCCCTCTTTGACCATGCCCTTTTTGGGGAGGTGGCCTGCCGCCTCTACCTGTTCCTGAGCGTTTGCTTTGTCAGCCTGGCCATCCTTTCGGTGTCTGCCATTAACGTGGAGCGCTACTATTATGTGGTCCACCCTATGCGCTACGAGGTGCGCATGACATTGGGGCTGGTGGCCTCCGTGCTGGTGGGCGTGTGGGTAAAGGCCCTGGCCATGGCTTCTGTGCCAGTGTTGGGAAAGGTCTACTGGGAGGAAGGAGCTCCCAGCGCTAACCCAGGCTGTTCTCTCCAATGGAGCCATAGTGCCTACTGCCAGCTTTTTGTGGTAGTCTTTGCTGTCCTTTACTTCTTGCTGCCCTTGATCCTGATCTTTGTGGTCTACTGCAGCATGTTCCGAGTGGCTCGCGTGGCTGCCATGCAACACGGGCCGCTGCCCACGTGGATGGAGACGCCCCGGCAACGCTCCGAGTCTCTCAGTAGCCGCTCCACTATGGTCACCAGCTCTGGGGCTCAGCAGACCACCCCACACCGGACGTTTGGGGGTGGGAAGGCAGCAGTGGTTCTCTTGGCTGTAGGGGGACAGTTCCTGCTCTGTTGGTTACCCTACTTCTCTTTCCATCTCTACGTTGCCCTGAGCGCTCAGCCCATTTCAACAGGACAGGTGGAGAATGTGGTGACCTGGATTGGCTACTTTTGCTTCACTTCCAACCCTTTTTTCTATGGATGTCTCAACCGTCAGATCCGGGGAGAGCTTAGCAAACAGTTTGTGTGCTTCTTCAAGGCAGCTCCAGAGGAGGAGCTGAGGCTGCCTAGTCGGGAGGGCTCCATTGAGGAGAATTTCCTGCAGTTCCTTCAGGGGACCTCTGAGAACTGGGTTTCCCGGCCCCTGCCCAGCCCTAAGCAGGAGCCACCACCTGCTGTTGACTTTCGAATCCCAGGCCAGATTGCTGAGGAGACCTCGGAGTTCCTGGAGCAGCAGCTCACCAGCGACATCATGTCGGACAGCTACCTCCGTCCTGCCCCCTCACCAAGGCTGGAGTCATGATGGACCCTTGGAGAGAAATAAGGCTTGGGGCTGGTTTACGATCTCATGGACTGCTTTTCCAGTTGGCTGGGGTTTGGGCTGGGGTCTCTGGACTTAGCTTTTGCTTGGTGTTTCCTGGGTCAGGACCAGAGCCATCAGGATGGACAATGTGGCAAAAGCCTTGGACTTGGATGTGATCTTTGACTATTGGGGGAGGGAACCTGGGTATGGTGAGACGGTGATGAGAGAAAAGGGTCACAAAGGTGAGGTAAAGCCTTTCTACCAGTGAACTTTTCATGCCTCAGGAAACAGGGAAACTTCCTAAGGGTAGGCGCTGGAGCAGCAGGCTAGGAGAAGTTACTGTAGGGACCACTGAGGTTTACTTCTTTCCAGTATAATAGAGTAATACTTACACTGAACCAAGGTAAGACAATGGCCTACATCTTCTCAGTTGCTTACGAGGTTTAAAAAGAACAAAACTACCCAAGTGTTTCCATGAGTTAATAGATCCCTTTTTAAAAGTTAATCTGTAAGATTTCTCTTAAACCGAAGAGAAAAGAGAAGATGTGTGGGGTGAAGTCTTTCCTGAATTTGGCCAGCAGCAAGGAAAACTGCAGTTAGGGTAGTGGAGTAGGAGACAGAAAAAAATGTTCTGCAGCTCTCTCCTATTCTTCTCTTTCCTGCATGCAGGAGATCAAGTGTGGGTCCTGATCACAGCAGAGACAAGTGTGAGAAAGGATGCCTCTTTCCTCCCTGTCTTTTGAGTAACTAGAGTGACTGGGGGGTCAGAGAGATGAGGGTGGGTGTTAGTCTTTGAATTGATAAAGTGGCTGGATACAGAAAGGTCAGGTAAATTACTCTGATCAATAATACTGCCAATCTTTTCTTTCCAGGACTGGCCTCCTTGATCTCTCTCCTCATGGCAGTGACCCACTTCCAGCCCCCTGGACAATCGGGTACAAGAGACTAAGGTCGGGCACGGGAAGGGTGGGGTTTCCATAGTCCATGAAATGCCTCCCTGCTCTCATTCATTGCTCTCAAAATTAGCTTCTGTGATAAAGACTTAACTGTCTCCTACCTGCAGCCCTAGGTTGGAGAGAGGGCAGAGAGTTGGGCTTTGCTGTTTATTGATTAAGACTACAGGAACCATGTTGGTTAGTATCAGTGATGGTATTTTCAATGGAGAGGGATTGACTGCAAGCTGGATAGGCTACCTATCTGGGTCCTGTCCATTCCACTTCTCTCAGTCGAATACTAAAGGGTCAAGGTTGATCCAGAGGGTGATGTGTCTACATCTGAACAAATTTCTTGTTAATTGGACATCAAAGGGGGAAAGAGGGTTGGGGTGGAGTGGTTTCCCCTTTGAACAACTAATAAATTTTATGATAAAAAGTTATATTAATATCAATACTGACTCCTTCAGTTCTATTCAATGCACAAATAGCTGAACACCAACATTCTATGCGACACACAGATGATGTGTGGACTCTGCTTTTAAGGAGTTCACAATCTAACTTGATCAGATATTCTGTATTTTTGTAGAGCATTTAGGTCTGATAAGGTTTATAGTATGGAGAATATATCCATGGTTCTGCCTTCTGAGAATTCATTGAAGTGACACATAGAGACCCCCTGCTTGTCGTTAAAGGTGTGGGGAATATAAACAAAACTCTTTAGCGAAGAAAATAACCTATTAAATAAAACTGGGCAAACAGCGTTTTCCCTTTTGGATTAGGTGAATTTCCAAGTTTCTTCCTATCATTTGTGTATTCTTCTAGTCTAGTGTCTGTTCCACTGAGGAAATCTCTTAGAAATGAGAGTCCTTTTAACTTCAAAGCTATTTCTTTTTCTTTTGAAATAAATCCATGCTTGAGAAATCTCCTTCCTACTATATCATAAGGGAAAAACTTTCATATATATTAATCCACCAATCAGCTGGTAGATCCAGAAACTGTCCAGTAGATGGCAGTGTGAGCTCAGAAGAAACAGGAAAGGTACTTAGGGTAATTGTGTGTGTGTGTGTGTGTGTGTGTGTGTGTGTGTGTGTGTGTTAAACATTGCTTGGCAGCCATTTTGTTAATTTTTTTTTTTTTTTTACTTAGACCTCCAACCCTTGCTTTACATAAAAAGGAACTTTTAAGTACAAGGAGATTTCTAATTCATACTGAAATAACTTGACGGTGAGATCTTGCTGCCATTAACTAATAATTACCATTCCTCCCCTTCCCCCACCTTCTGTTGTAGGAACAGATCATAAAAGAAGTAAAAATTTCCCTTTATAACAAAGGGAACGTTCCTCACAACTTTTGCTATGACCACCTTCCAGGAATTTTCTACTCACTGAGACTGATTGGTAAAGTTCAGTATATAATCCTTAGCTTTTTTTTTTTTTTAATTTAAGAAACTTGTTTATTTATGTGTTTTTGTTTTTTTTTTTTTAATGTAGGAGTGTTCTGTCTGCATGTACACCTGCATGACAGAAGAGGGCATCACATTTCTTTATAGGTGGTTGTGAGCCACCATGTGGTTGCTGCAAATTGAACTCAGGAAGAGCAGCCAGTGTTCTTAACCACTGAGCCATTTCACCAACCCCAATCCTTAGCTAGTTCTTTTTTTTTTTTTTTTTAAGATTTATTTATTTATTTCATTATGTATACAATGTTCTGCCTGCATGTACATCTGAACACCAGAAGAGGGCACTAGATCTCATTATAGATGGTTGTGAGCCACCACGTGGTTGCTGGGAATTGAACTCATGACCTCTGGAAGAGCAAGCAGTGCTCCTAACCTCTGAGCCGTCTCTCTAGCCCCCAATCCTTAGCTCTTAAAAGCTGTTCCTGTGCAAAACCTCCCTTAAAAGCTGAGGAAACAATAGGATGAGACAATCATCCTGTCAGTTATTTTTGCCTACGTCTTGGTATTGAGATAGAAACTTTCTGTTGCCAGGTGTCCCTAAGCAATCCCTTTGAGAGGCCTGGTAGAAAAGGGGGCACAGTTGAAAGTAGGCAGGTATGTTTACCGTGTGGATATGGAAAGCCACTTAATTCCTCTGAGCCTATTTCCTCATCGGTGACAATGGGGATCAATATTACCTACCTCACAAGGTTGTTGTGAGGATTAAGAGATGAGACATGGAAATGCCAAGCCATACCTGGCAAACAGATACTCACTAAATGTTGTACTTCCCCTTGCCTTCTGAGCCCTTTCCCCCAGAAGTGATCGTAAAGGAAAAGCAGCCTCTTTCTTTTTAATGGTCATTAGGAAATGAGTGGAAATTCAGCCTAGGAATTGATAAGCATTATGGTGAAGTGGATGAGGTTAATCGTCTAATTAAATAGTTCTAATTAATTACTTTTCACTGAAATGACTTTTCTGTTGGGGATTTTAAGATTTTGTATTTTAAGTTTAGCTTGTACTGGAGAAAGGTTTTAAATTTCAGGGGAAGGTTTCAATGGCTGCAAAAAGATCCCCTTCCTAAAACGTGAGTGAGTGGTGAGTCACTGTGGCCATTTGACAGTAAAGGTACTTTAGGATTACCTTCACAGGGCTATGATTTACAAATCTTCAGGTGGTACTACAGAGGCACCTTTTACTAAACCCTCCTTTTTCTGTGGTTATAACGTAGGAACTCTTGTTAGATTAACGATGATGCGCTGGTTTGCTTCTGGGTATTGGACTAAGGACCTAATGTAGAGCCGTCGTTTAAGTTGGAGAAAGGGAAGCATGGAAATGTTATAGCTACACCCGTTTTTCATGTTCTACTACTTGCTAGCAGTCGAGCGATCCTTTGCCAACATAGGAGTGCCAGGCAAATGTACAGCTTACAGAATTTCATACGGGGTAGCAGAAGGACTAAGACATAACTTTTTAAGAGCAGGAGACTATGCCTAGCCTTGGCACAATGGGTGGTAGCGTGAGGAATGGATGAAAACCCAGGCGCAAAGATCAGACCGAGACAACTTTGGCGGAAGTTTCCAACACTCGGCTTTGGGCACAGACCCGGGCTCCACATCACAGATCAACAAGATTTTTCTGGAAAGGGAGTCTTTCCCCAGGTGAATTTCCCGGGGGGCCTGTGAGCTCTCATTTAGGAATCCGGTCCTCATCGCCAAACCTCCTGTGCGTCCTCAAGAGGGCACCGCGAGCTGGAAGTCCGCTTTTTCTACACTTGGAATGCAAAGCCCAAGAAACTAAGAAGTAAAAGGGCTGTAGGGCTGGGAGGTGCGGAGCGACAAAGCTCCACCGCTCCGCGCGCAAGGACAGTCTCTCGAGGACTTCCGCTTTCCGTACCTCCACCGCCTCCCACCGCCGCAGAGCTCGGAGCGGTAACGGCCGCCGGGCGTCGCCGGAAGTGTCGTAAACAGCAGATATCCGGTTCTTCCGGGCGCTCGGGGAGCTGACGGAGAAGGCCACCGCCCAGCAGAAGACGCGTCTCCGCCGGTGGAGTCGCGGTTCCCGCGGTGTGTGAGTGAGCCAGGGCCCGGTCCCCTCTCCCGCCGCCGCCATGGGCTGCACGTTGAGCGCCGAGGACAAGGCGGCGGTGGAGCGGAGCAAGATGATCGACCGCAACTTGCGGGAGGACGGGGAGAAGGCGGCCAAAGAAGTGAAGCTGCTGCTGCTCGGTGAGGGGCTGGGGGCGGAGCTGGAGCGCTAGATCCCGGGAGCCCGGCCCGGGAGTAGCCCGGGCTCGGAGGGGTCTGACCAGGCTGGCAGAAAGGACCCCAAAGGGACCGGGAGGGAATGCCCGGCACGGGGCGGGTGCTGGGGTTGGTGATCGAGGTCCCGGAAGGCGTGGGGATTTCAGGTTGGAGAGGGTGTAACCCGGAGAGTGTGGAGCTCTGAGGCTGTGTTAGGAATCCGGGAAAGGCTCGTGAAGGGAGGGACCGATGTTAGGGAGGTCTCACGTTGGATTGGGACGTGTCAAGGAGGGTAGTGTATGGGGTCGGGTGGGCCTGTCCAGGGTTTGTGTGAGTTTGATTCTTGATGGCAAGCTAGTACAGAGGGGTCACGTAAAGAACCTGCGCTGTTTGTAAAAGAACGCACGTCTTTTTGCACTGTTAGTAAGGTGGATTGTCCGGGAACGTAAAGGGGTAGGGCGGGTAAAGTAAATGACAAGTCCTTCGGTATAAAAGGACAGACCTTGGGTGCCGATGCCGGCTGTACTTTTTCAAATTTTTCAATCTTTTATTTTTTTTCCCCTTGAGTTTCTGTAACTCCTATTTTTATTAAAGGGATAGGGATGGTGTAAGCTGAGGAAACTGAATGAATGCCATCTTTGAGGTTGGTGATAGAGGACAGTAGATTACAGCAGGGACGATTTAGAAGTGATGTGCATTGGGAATAGAGTTAGTATAGGATAACATATGGAATGGAACATATTTACCATGAAGATTGCGGTAAGTTTGGGGGAAGTTTTTTTTATTGGGGTTTTCAAAATAAAAATACTGGCTTCCAGACTACAGCGTGTTGCTTTATACTCAGGTGGCTTTTATATAGTGTTAGTCAGGATAATTTAGTTTTAAACTTTGATAGGCCCAGTAAAGTCATATGAAATTTTCTGCCATTATCCTACCAGTAAATCCAGCTGTATTCATTATTCATATTTTTGGGGAATGTTTTAGATCAGAATAAGTATGAGTCACAGGTTCTGTAAGCACCAGAACTTTTTCGGTAAATTGAATCCCGGGAAATCATTGTAGAGTTCCATATTCACTTTGTATAGCTCCAGAGGACAGACACACCCACCATAACCTCAGAGCGCCCTTGTGCTTGAAGATGTGCTGGGTGCTTGTTTGTATATTGTGGAAGCTCTAAGTGGTGACTCTGATATGAGGAAAAAGTGGAGTTGGAGCTTCCAGAAGATACGAATTCAAATCATGGTTCCGGACTGCCAGTGTCTGTAGAACAGGCATCTTCTGTGAATGAACATGGTTTCTGGTACTTAGCAGGTACTTAAGTATTTCCTGTTAGCCAACCAGCTTGATCAACCTTGTGCTGGATGTTGGTTCACGGGAGCCTTTTGGAGCGATAAAAACACACTTGTCAGTTTCCTTCTCTGCGTTAATTTTTGTGTATTGAGACAATATCACTATGCATCTTTGGCTGGCCTCCATCCTCCAACAGTCAGCTTCCCCAGTGCTAGATTACAGCATATATCACCATATCAGTGACATTAGCATTTTCTATATTGATCAATCAATTGTGAAATTAAAGATGTATTCTCACCTTCTGTGATTTGATTTATATTGACCATTGAAAAAAACGGGCAAGCACTATCGAAATATCTGGAAAACTCCTTATTCGAGGCCTTTATTTCCTTTAATTAAGAAAAAATTAAACACACAGTATCTCACAGAATTTGGAAAGTTTAAATAAAGCTCAAAGTACTAAAACATTTGTTTTTAATTT